TGCTTCCCTTTTCTCACCCAGTGCTAAAACGCTGATGCTTTATGCTGATGGGATTAGAACCAGGAAAGAGTCTGTACAACAAAAAGGGTATTTTCGGCACAGTACAAGTGACAGACTGCTCTACCTTCTACTTCTTCATTTGCCTTTTGTGAAAAGGACACCCAGGAGCAGTCACTGACAGGCACTGTGTCTTGAGTGACTCTAACAAGTTTTGTTTCCTCCCATAAGGATATATTACAATGTCTCGTTCGCTGGCCACAGTTCAAATCAAGGTGTTTCAATTCTACTAGCAATCCATGGATGTTAGGCTTTGTGACCTCAGATATCATTAGATTGCTCTCAGAGAAAAAACACTTTACTCATTTCCTATAAAATTCCTTATTTAAAAAGTCTATATCTAATGTGCTTTAAATTGTATCATTGTTTTACTATATACAGTAACCCAAACCTAATAACGACTCATTAACACTGTCTATAAATTTACAGACATTAGAATAAACAAATGTAAACAAATGTCTGTGCACGCACCAATCCCTGCAGTTAATGGCGTCACCGTAGCCGGGGGTGTCCACCACCGTCAGTCGCAGCTTGACGCCCCGCTCTTCAATCTCAACAGTTGAAGCTTCAATTTGGACGGTTCTTTCTATTTTCTCTAGAAAAGAAACACACTTAATAGAGAATACTGCTAAGCAGTATGCAAAGAGGAAAAATTACCTGTTACTAATATTCTTACAACAAATGATTTGGAAGTTTACTACATCTCTGTGGAGGTAGCTTCTCAGAAGATAGTATCAGGATTGTGTAAAAAATTGATCCCAGAGTCAGAAAGGGAAATGTCAAAGTTAAGATAAATGTGCTGCTTGAGAAAGTAAAAAAATGCCAATATTAAGAATTATAATTTCTTTTCTTAGGATAAAGAAAACAGTTTATGAATTCACTTAAAAATTGAATTAAAAAATGTTTGTGAGAGGGTACCTGTCTTCTTGCGGCAGCCCCTGTGCTGGGCTCTGACTTTGTGTGTTTAATTCACTCAACAAGCACTTACAGATGCTGGTGTCCTGCACTGGAACACTCAGACAGGAGAAGAACCAGTCAGATACCATCTATCAATACAGCAATCTTCTATGTATACGGCATTTCTAATGATACAGAACATTCTGATTTGATCCTGCCATCGAATGTGTAATACAGCCAGAAAGCATTATGACATTTTACAGGCAAAGAAAAACACTCAGAGAGGATGGAGCCATGAATGTGTCACAGAAAATCTACGACCAAGCTCCAAGGACCCCAGGTACAGCACACTTCCCCACATAAGTGATACTTTCCTTGT